GTGTGTCTGCCACTCTTGCTCGGTCCATTCGGGCCTCGATTTCTGGGGCGAGCCGGGCATCTCGAGAGAATTCGAGGGACTCGACGAGCATGTGATAAAGGAGCGTCCATGGACGCTGGTTGCTCGGGACGGGGTCGGCGAATGCTCGACCCACGACTGACGGTGTAAAAGCGGGGATGGGGGCAAGGTCTTCGGCGCCGGCAATTGCTCCAAGCTCTTCGGAATCGTAGTTTGGGAACTCCTCCCAGAGCTGCTGATCCGTCGGTTCAGGCCTGGCGACGGTGGTAGAGGGCGCTGGGGCCTCTTCACGGACGGGGATAGTGAGGCCCCATGAGGTCGGGACTCTGGCCACAGGAGCTTCTTCCCCTGGGTCAGCATAGACCCAGCTGGTGCTGGGGTGCCAACCAATGGGCGGTCCTCTGTCCGCGGGCCAAGAAAGAATGGATCTTGCTCCATCTGAACGGGAGGTAGGCACGGCGGAGGCCCCAAGCCCAAGCTCTCCGGAATCACTGTCGTAGTCGTCTTCTTTCCGCTCCATATACCTCCTGCGCTCGCTTCCCCTGTCGGCGTCTGTCCACCTTGTTTGAGACCTTCCGCTCCAGTTGTCTCCGGTATCGGTTGCATCCTCCTCCTCGTTCGGGTAGAGGTCACCAAGGAGGTCTTCGAGTCGGATTCTTTCGAGCTCTGTGAGCTCGTCTCCTTCGTACTCGGTGTCAGGGCTTTCTTCGCCCGTGACCAGATGCCTGGTGCCTTGTCCTTGGACTCCGTCGTGGCTTGACTCACCTTCGACTGGAGAGAGGTCGAAGAGACCTGGTAAGGGCGAGTCTCCTCGGTCGAGGAGTACGCCCTGGGTATCGGTGATGTCGACGGAGTCGGCTGACTCGTCGGTAGCGCTTCTGTAGGAGTCGGTGCTCGACTCTGAGGATCGCGAGCTGGGTCGTGACGATCCGTAGAGGGACTCTCCATAAAGGGATTCCTCTGGCGGGACGGGTGGTAAGGTTTGTTGCGAAGCTGCGGGGATGTCGATCACCTGCGGGGGATACGCGGGGATGCTGGGCACGTAGTGGAAGGGCAGCTGAGGTCATACCCTCCTCTGTTGACGGCAACAGCGAAGTAGATGATACAAGGAGATGGATAAGAAAAAGAGTATAAAAGTTGCAAAGATGGCGGGGATGGCGTCGGACCAGGGCATCCGTTCGTGCGTCTATTCGTTGCAAGGTTCGTCGACCTCGACTAATCATGCGACGATAGGTGGTTCACTAGGATTTGGACTGCCAAGATAACAAGGGTGATGAGGAGGGTAATGATCAGGTTGAGGTCGGCTTCGTAGTCGAGACCGGTCATCAACAAGACTTCGTCGGAATCGGAGGTGCTTGGCAATGCCAGCAGTATAATTGCCAGCAAAGAAGCGATTCGGAAGAGGGTGGTGAATAGGTTCAGTTTTGTAAGGATGTTGGGCAACAGTGAGTTGTTGGGCAACGTAGGATGAGCTTCGGCTAAATGTTAGCCACTAACTCTTATCGACTTAGATCGTACTAGGATCCTCACTCGCACTTCGGTGAGAGATACTCTAGCAAGTCAAAGGCGACGCAAGTCGATGGGACAGATAGTCACGAAGGACGGAGTTCGATGTTAGGTAGATTAAACCTTAGCCGAAGCTGGGTTTCAGACCAGCTAAGGCTCTACTTAAATACACGTTGGTAGACTATTAATAGTACTGTGAGAAACTGTCCATTGTGATCACACATGAGTAATCGGGCTGAGTAAAACGAAGAAAAATGAATAAACCGTAACACAAAGCTGGGGTTTAGGCCAGCTGAGGCTCTACTTAAATACACGATGAGTAACCTAATAATAGTACTGTGGGAACAGAGTCCATGTGGGAGATGCACAATAGAAGCATGGCATCATCATACAAGTAAGCAAAAAAGAGTCAGCAAATAGTAGAACCGTAACAGTCAACTGGAAACACAAGTGGTGGTGGAGGATCTGGAAAGCCGAGCGAGTCACCAGGCAAATGCTGAGTTGGGGGAGAACATTGCAAAGCAGGTAAATGGACCATTGAAATGGGTCCAAGCATAGTATTGGAATCCATTGCAAGTAGCCACGATGAAGTGTTGAAGTGAGCAGAAGATAATGGATAAATCAATTCCCTCTACAAGGTGTTCCCAATGTGTCCACCAATGTTAAGAATCAGGGTATTTGAGCTACTACATGAGTTAGTGAATACTCGAGTAAAGCCCAAGTCGAGAACGAGGATGTCTGAAAGCCGAGTTCCAACCACCAAGAGGGATCCATAAGGGTGCTAACAAGCGCTGGGCATAGTTAACGAGGGTGTCAGCAAGCACTAGGTGTAACTGACTGGGTCTCTGAAAAGTGCTAGGCATAGTTGGAAAGCAATTGATTGGCAAGTGCTAGGCATAACCGATCAGAGAGCTTAAATCACACAGTTAAGTGGACATTCAAAAATGAGTAAAATTAGCATAAGATCCTAATACAAGGACAAGTACAATATTTATATACCACTAGTAAGGAACTGAGTCATTATTATTCTAGTATCACCAAGAAGAAGAGAGAAAGTAAGAGAAGGTAAGAGAAAATAAGAGAAAATACCTGCAAGCCGAGGTCAAGGCTGAGAAGGCCAAGAGTAGGCATGTGTTGACTCATGTACAGACCGGAAAAGACATGAGATCCATAACAGTCAATAACTCTTATCCTTCCTTTGCTGCTATCTTTCACTCTTTCAGCTACCAAGGTGAGCAATCCAGAGCATCCTCTGTCGATGACCTGAATAGCATTCATAGATGGAGATTAAGATATACATCACAGAGAGATTGAAGTCCTCATTTGAGTTATACTTGGAGGATGAAGCCCAAGATCTATACACCACCTTACAGCATTGTATTGGCGACATACATCTGATCACTCGAAGTTATGACCATGTCTATTGTGTCATTGTGTAGGTTTCCATACCGTTAACTGTAATTGTACTGATTCTTTTGCAGTGACTTAATCATTGATGGTTCCCCACATAATGCAGTGAAGATTTACAATGTTTATGGCCATTTACTCGGCAGCCTGCACTACATGGTTCCTGGTACAACAGAGTATATTCCTGCTACTTTAAACATCTGATGACATGGCTGAAGCCGGATTTATTTTATTGGAAAATTGTACCTTTTCCTTTCCTCCTTGACCTGTGGACTTCACTAATATCTTGAAGAACTTTCACCTGACTCTCAGGAATTCAAAATTGTAGTACTCAATTCATACTTTTGCTCTTCATGCATTTATACATTGTCTTGAACATATCTACCTATGATGTGCGCTTTCTTTCTTGTAGTCAAATGTAACATGATTCACTCTATATTCATAAGTTGAGTTGTTCAGCTCGCATTCAGCTAAACATTGGCTGAAGCTCAGCGGACATTCAGCGTAAGCTCAGTGGACATTCAGCATGTGCTCAGCTTTGGCTGCATACCGGACATTCTGGAATCAATGGTTTTGAGACAAAAATATGCTATTCTGAGATTGACTCCCAAAACAAAACCCGGGTTTGCCCTATATCAGCACCGAAATGGAAAATTAAGGCTAACGTACTGGACCCTCTGGTACCTTTCATTTTCATGTCCCCGAAACTAAAACATGAATGGAAGCTTTCGGGGAAAGTTATGGATCTCTCAGAACTCTATGTTCTGATCCTCGTATTTTTGTTGCCTATAATGTGTCCGATTTCTTCCATTTCCAGATACGTTCTGTTCATCCCAAAACTGAGGGTTTAAGAACAAGTTTAAGGTATTCTTATTTTTTTGTGGAAATCTTGACTACAAGAACTATAATAGGGATGTCCTAAATTTTTTGATTGCCCGTGTGTAGCAGTTTTATCCTTCTATTCCAATCAGATCTTAGACAATAGATGAACTGAAATGTGCCGAAATTGCTAGTTGTAAAGGATCCTACCTCAATGGGAGTCTTCAATGCAACAACAGAGCACGATCGGCATATATTAGCCAGAGTATGAAGAGTCAAAGACATGACATGGAGGTAAAATCAAAGGTTAAGGAGTAAAAGGGAAAACGGCGCATACGTAGCTGTCCGAAGGCATAGGTAAACAGGAAAAAAGAAATGACGTAGCTAACTGGTCCGTAAATAATCCGTATCCCTTACACTAGTACCCACAGTTCCAGTGAGTGATCTCCCTGGAAGACTGAAGCCAACCACATCTATGGTGAGAAAGATGAGCTAAACGAAAGCCAACGATCAAATTATATCCTCGAGAGTCGAAACATGCAGCCAGGTCCTCTACATTGCTTGTATCCAGACCCTATCAGCGTTCTTTAGTCAAATCATTTGGAGAAGACAAAGATAACCCCTGCAGCGTATCACATGAACATTACTTCCCAACCATTCTTCACAGAGACTTGGTTCTTCCATCAGAGGTGAGTAAGCCTTTGGAAAATTGGTTATATATGCATCATTAGGAGAACGTAGTGGATACACATGCAATTGAGGTGATCCACCACATGCTGACAACTGACAACAGAAAGACAAGTCGTCGCCATTTACTTTCCTACCATACGCTTTAAAGCATTGTATCACAAAGCTTGCCTTTCCCGCTCCATACAAATAGCAGCATTCTTTAAGTTGGCAAAATCTGACTATATGAACTGGTAGGCGGACAGAGATGCACTTATCGTTACGTCTTTCACAGTGTATTGACACTGGGATGTCAATGCATCTACACTATTGTCTAAATTGCTTGCAATCAAGTTCCAATTATTGAGCACTGTCTTACTGTCATCACGTCCTAACGACGCTCGAGCAGCGTGGCACTTACCTCATTTGTGGGGCCTATCTTCTGGATCCTGGTGTCGACTGCCGCATCTTTGAGCCTCCACTTCATACATAAAAAGTAGTTATCAAGAATTGTAACACGAAGAAAAAATAACAGTCCATTCAATGACAATAAAACCTCCGCACAACAGGACAATCGAGATGGTTTAGTTGGCAGGCCCACCCTTGATGCTGAATTCCTTGCCCACATTTCTGGAGTCACCAAAGACTTGGCACAGTGAGTTATCAGCGCCAATTTTCCGACATGAATGAAAACTACTCACGGACAAAGGCGTAATCATCTCCTTCAGCTACGAGAGGAACCTTGATCTCGAACCTTCCCAACATGATATCAAACTCGTCCGCAAAAACAACTGTTTGGATAGTCAGCTACCGCAGATAACTAACACAAATGACACACATGGCAAGAACAAGCCGACCTTGTTCAGCCTAATGCTGCTGTAGTTACGACCGGTGATTAGTTCAGGAGGGTTGAAAGTGTCCCAAGAGACAGTTTGAGTCATCCCGACGAGCCATGTAGTGCTCGTGGTTGGGGACAAAATAGGGGGGTCGAAGATGTCGCGTTTAGAGGCGGGAACCGCAGCTGCGAGGAGAGCAGTAAAGAATGCAGTAGAGAAAGCGAGCTTCATTTCTATCATGCTTAAATGAGGTGGTTTCCTGCTGGATTATATAGTGCTCTGGCATGGGGGACCACAAGCAAAGATAATCCGCATTCCCATGCACGGAGACTTGAGAGCGACGTTTGAGAACTATGACGAAGTAGCGACACATCCTCGGATGTGGGAAGTTCGAAAAACGCCACGGAAGAGTTTGTGGGAAAGAGTGATTGCCGGCAGTTTCATAGGTATGTGTCGTACGAAGACAATGACTGTCTATACTGGAGGGAGATTCTCTATGCCCTTCTTGAGATGATATAGCGGAGCGGGAAAAAAATAAGGATCATGGATGAATTCTCAGAATAAGAAAAGCATTGCATCCACGAAACCCTCATGGCCCTCACTCGCCCAAAAGCCTCTAGTGGTTGGCTCTCAGGAATAAAATAACCGCCAGGCAGCCCCGCACGGAAGACATTGGTCATCGCGGCAACACGACACATGAAGGTCTACCACCTGATACCAAGGCAAGTACTGGAAACATTCAAAGGTACGCCTGCAGTCGACATTCATGGCGTTGGGATCCCACAGGCGGTGTTTTTTTTACCGTCTCGTAGTGCTATGTGACGTCGGTATTTCCATTGAGTCATAACTCCCTCGCACTCGGACTGCTCGGTGACTTCATTAGATTAAGGCCTCGAATATGCACTTGAGAAATTTCCATCAGGATCCCTTAGTCTCTCGACTAAGATATGGGTCAACTCTCATGTGAGGGGGGTAAGACACCATGCTGCATCCCGAGCCCTAACACCGCACGTTAAACGGGGTATTCTTATCGATAGCGCCCTGTCTCACTTTCCCGGCCGATGACACAGGTGCAGAAGCAATATCGCGGAAAGGTCCTTGTGGGATATTCTAGACTTTGTATCTTGTTCGCCGAACATTCACGCCCCTCGCACGACGTATTCCCCATGAGATTCGAGCGTCTATAATCCATGACCAAGAGCACGTCTATGCACTTCATGGCCACCATCTCGCTTCTAGCCGCTAGTTATAACTCTTGGAGAGGAGGAAGCATAACGGGTTTGGCACAAGGTGCAAGCTCAGGTAGTTGTAACTGTAGTTGCCTTCTGGGCTGACGTGCTCCAGAATATCACGATACGGTTGTTTTCATTGAGACGGTCATCCTATATGGAGAGGTACTTGCAGCGATGAGAGCCATTACCAAGCCAGAGAAAGACAGTCATGATGTTAAGTGTTATGGATTGAATGATTCGAAGGAGCTACATTACTAGCGTTGACAGGATCCCAGCCAGGCAAACGATTCGGCTGGCTGCGTTAGAACGATGGACACTGAGCAACACATGATTCGGCCAGAGGAGGTAGATAAGTAACTGAAAGAACATCATCATACGAAGTCGTCGATCATACAAGAGAGACTGCGAAAAACAATGTTAGAGAGATAAGCGGAATGAGAGAACAACGTACTGACCATTCATGCGAAATGACATTAAAACCTCGGTAAGCTAGGTTCGACTAACGACTAACTGTCATCTTACAGGCGAATCGCTGAGTTCTTACTAAATCCACGATATGGGTAACTGTCGTGTGGTTCCGGCAAGCTCAGAGGAAGGCGACGTTGATGAGAAATACACTACCAACAGGGTCGTCATGTTGGTGTTTCCGGTGTAATTGCCTTTCGCGCTTGTCTTGAATCTATACTCCTCCCGCATAATGCTTCCCTTTAAGTAATGTTATTATAGTCGCAATTCCTAGGGGAGAAACAATCCGAGTCAATACAAGATAAATATGGCACTAGAAACGAACTCTACATACAAAGAACACGCGCAAGTATTTTAGAAATTATGCGTATCAAAGTCAAGCGCGAGACTGGTTTTCGCGAGCCCTCTCAATTCATCCTCATCGTCTGAATCAAACTCATAACTCCAACTTTGTCCTATTATACGTAGACCAAATTTCTCGAGAACACCAGTGCGACACCGCAAAATGATCATATCGAGAAACTCGCAGTCAAGAAACCAGACATGCATATTATCAACCCCTTCCAACACGACGTGGAAGGTGCTCAGACAAGGAACAAGGGCATAGCAGACTGACCCATCCATTCGTACGGTCTCCGCCAGGTCCTCCGTGAGTGATTCCATACTCGGATCATTATCCTCATCCCATTGGTTGAATTGAATGTTAAATTCCTCCAGATGTGGCGTTAGTCACAGAACCGCGGCAAGATCAACATCAAGGATAGTTGTATCGACGACAGAGAGTCGGATCAGCGAACACTGGGAATGGTGAAGTAATTCTGACAGCGCCATGATGGCATCCGTTGGGAGATGAAAAACCTGCTGCATTCTGTCTTTGTCATAGCCAGCGGTAAGAACAACCTCGCATAGCATTGGTAATTCGACACTTCGCATGAACGATGCTGAAGAAACCGAAAGCGTCTGTACCGACTGGTCGATAACACGGGGGTAAGCTAGCTGGGATACTAGTAGTTCTGGGGGGTCAGCATAGTCGTGGTATGAAAATGAGATGAGGTTCGTAGACGATCTGATAATATCGATATATTCCGGAGTCAGCAGGTCGCCCGCGAATGGCCGTTCATCGTAAAACGAAATTAGATTGGTGGCAGGGAAAGTAAATTGAGCCTCGGGATGCATTCCTTTGAGGTAGAAGTTTCTCAGCCTAGGTGCTATCTCAAAGGCGGCAATGGGAGCTGAATGACTTCCCGGATCAGGCCAACATTGTATATATATATCGGTAAGCCAATCAACCTTTCCGCGAACGACAGAAAGATGTGGAAGAAAGGATGGACGAATGATGAATTCAACCATTCTCCATTGCGCTGAATGCGCCGTCATGATATCGAAGCACTGACGCATGATATCGGCTTCTCTGATCGAACGCGAGTGGCAATATGCGAACAAAAAATCAAGGGGATGACCGCGCGTGCGCTCAAGCGCGCGTTCGAGCATTTCCACAACATCTTTGGGATGCCAACTAATATCCAACTGGTGACCTGGAATTGCGATAGTTATCGTCGCCCATAACTCGGGGCAGAGTGTGCTGACGACATCCCTCCACAGCCTGCAAACATGACCAAGATGCCATGGACCCTCTGCAATGGTAAAGACGTTGAATCCATTGATATGAGGATTGTTGGCCCGATCTTCGACTGCCGTCCATGTGCGCCGTAGGATCTCCATCACTATCTCCGCTGGTACTCGGCGGATGGGAGATAGCACGAGACTGTAATCACGCTGGAGAGATCGGATTCGTGACATTTGCGCTTCAAGGGACGCGACCGCATTTCCTAGCAGATCAATCGCTGCCTGGATTTCACGGCCAACATTCTCCAGGATCTTCGCTGATGCTTTCACGTTGCTAACCTGTAACAATGACGGCAAGTCATTGGAATGGAGCAGGGAAGTGATATCGGGTGGATGGGTGACGGTCAATCTCCGGTCGAACTTGGCTAGCAGCTGCTCGATGGAGGCGCGCGTCAATTCCATAGACGATATGGGCGGAGTGTCAATCGGCGGCAAATACAAATGTTGCTACACAAGTATTACTTGATAATAAAGTGACCATAGATGAATAATAGAGACTTACAACTCACGCACGGAAGACTGTGTGTCCCGGTAACAATACTACGTGATGGCCAGGGCGATAGAAGGACAACCTAGAGGTGGTAGGGGAAGGAAAAATTATTCAAATCCCGCTGATGCGTCTTCGCGCTGTATACGTCATATAGGATCCAGAAATCCGGTACGCCGCATATCGAGTGATAATCGTGTATGCCGCTAGATAGATAGCTTGTCTCCTTGGACCTGTCTCCATGGTTTACACTCTTCGTACTGGAGCGTGAGCAGGACCTGCCACCAACACCAGGGACACCGGGGAAATTGGGATAGCAGTATAGGTCATTTGACCATCCAACCCATTGGAAGGGCCTTATCGTATAGCGGAGGTGTACGTTGCTGAACGAGCTTGATGATGGTACCTTCGTCTGCAATTACAAACACCGAACATATTGAAGGCTGTCAGGGACCGGTAAGCAAAAACAAAAACAAAAAAGAGCGAGGTATACACCAGAGTCACCATACGGCCGCCCTTCCATACAGCTCGAGTGGTGGACCATGGGCGGGTCCCAAATGCCGTTCTTCCTGCTACCTCCACACGCTCAGTATCCTCCCGAAACGTCCTCGTCTCACATGTCAAACTGTACGTATCATGTCGTGCGAGGTCGTACATGCTCCGTAGTTTTGTACTCGTAATGGAACAGGGAATATGAATGGATGTCCTATTGCAGAAGATCAACAAGAAGCATTTTCGAAGGAACAGGACACTTACGCAGTTCGACATGAATAGGCCAGAAAACTCGCTAGTTCCGTGGGAGAGGGTAGTGAGGGCGATGTTCATCTCTGAGGGTACAGCTCTTGCAACACAGCGATCGCCAACATACGCATTATAGCATCGAGTCATCGCCCTTATTCCGGAACCTAATCCTGGGTATTTGGACTTGGCATGGTCGGGAAAAGATAGCTTGGCCCTTGCTCTTAATAACATCAAAAGAGGACGCGGAAGCTGGAGAAGAATAAGCGAAATGCTGGGTGATAGACGGGTAAAACGCACGAAAAACTAAAGATCACTCTCGTCATCGCCGCCGCGGTCTAGATCTGCATTCCTTCTACAATCCTCGTTTCCTTCTCGTGAGAGGCCACTTGTTTGGCAATATGTTCCTATATGCTGCATCATAAATTGCCCAGAGCTCGCAGATGGGCAGAATACGTACTCCTGTAAGGTCCTTCACAACGTTCTAACCACAGCAACAGGGTGAATCGCAATATACGTCTCCTCCTTCTCACAGTTCCTGACCAATATCTCCCCAAAGTTTGATGCTTGCAGTGGCTGACAGTCCCAATCTGCCAGTCAAACCGTTGATTCGCAGTTTCGAGACGCCATACAGTCGTTCGGATGAGGCGCGGCGCCAGGTGTCATAGTTCATGACGACGGTAAGAGAAGCGGGAATGAAGAGAGCAACTCAATTCAGGATTGAATGACTGGCTGGCTATAGACTGAAATCAATTCAGGATTCGATATGTGATGATGGAGGTTGATGGTGGTTGACTGAGAAGTGTCGTCGGACCCTGAATTCTCGTCTTCCACCGTCTTCCGCTCCGAGCCGCAAGTCACCACAAAAAGTGAGAAAAGTTTACCAAGGATTCTAAGCAGTTGTATTGTATATAAACCAATCTTATCCATTATATTACACCTATATAATGGATAAGATTGGTTTATATACAATACAACTGCTTAGAATCCTTGGTAAACTTTTCTCACTTTTTGTGGTGCCAAAGTCGACCTGAACATTGTGTTCATCACTTAGATTTTTCTCATAGATAATAATGCGCGTAGCTCTACTTCATGCACTATTCGCCATTCTCTTCCTAATCTGCATTGTTTTCCGTCGATTGTTAAGCTGGTCAGGCCATGACCGTTGGCTTCTGAAACTTCATTTATCGCTATTTATCGGTATGAGAAATTCACCAATAGTTAATAGTATACTGATGAAACAATACAGGTCACTCAACTGAACAGTAAGTGGTAGATATGATGGTTGCCAGGTCAAGAAAACCGATTATGGTATAAAAACATCACTGCGACAACATTACGAAAGGAGATTTCTACAAATAGGCGCAGGCAGAAGCGGATCGCGACTATTCGGAGGGTAAATAAGCTCCCTATTCCGAGTCTGGTTGACGAGCGTCATCAAAACATAGCACTTCATCATATGCATAATCACCGGGCAATAATCCCTATGGTCCTGCCACTCTCTAAAATAAAAATTATGGTGGAAGAAATCGACGCGCTCTTTACACGCCTTACACCGGACATGGGTAGGCCCAATAGACTTGGTGTCGACCCACGCTTCGTTCTCGAGAAGCTTTCTATCGACCTCCGGGTCCCTGTTGGGTGCGTCACAGTGGATATCGAGTTCCCAGAACTCGCCAGAGATGTCGACTTGGACCAGGCGCGTTGGGTCAGAACGTGAAATGGCGTAGGTGAACGTCATGTTTTGTTTGGTAGATAGAATGGACGCGTTAGCGTTCATCACAAATGACCATCTGAAGGGGGAGAAATTAAGCCATGAAACCGTGATTCGAAAACGTCTGCCACTCACTGTTTAGGGTGCGTTCGAGCCAACTCGTCTCGGAAAGCAACGACATCAAAGACAAATCGCCTGAGTCTGGAGGGCGGATTTAGGCCCCAAGAATCTAACAAGTTCGACAACATATCCATAGTGCGAGGAAGAATTGTAGAATTGTAGACGGTCTTGATTTTGGAAAGTGGGTGGGAATGTTAACTCGAGAATCTGCACGTCGTTTAAAGAGTATTAACCTGCTGCCACTTAGTCATTTATTATCCTATCTGCCACCGTCTTTATTACGGCCCAAGACAAAACAAAGACAATGAAACAATGCAGGATTTCGAGTCAAAGCAATGGAACGTGAATAGAATGAAGCAAAAAGTGAGTTCAAAGAACAACTTGCACTAGCCGCCACCCAAGGTATCTCTTGGCATCATGCAAGGTTCTACAATTAGAATCGGTATCAATTGTGTCGGCGGGACAAAGGGAACAAAGGCCACATGGCCGAGTCATTCAACGGTATCATCTACGATGGGTATATCGGAAATAAGTGGCATTTAGGTCCACGCAGATACTTATGTGATAACATCTCTGCATTTCTTCCTACAATAAAGCAACCAAACCGAAACTGATTGAAGCAAATTCGGTTTTAGTCACAACTTCGAGTATCTACAAATAGTTTTAATCAGTATCCTAGACGCTCTATCACAGAGTACGCACGCGTTGCGAGGACCGTATCGGACGTTGAACAACACTTGGTCGGTAGCAAGGCAGACACCACAGGACGCTCGATACGAAGCTTTGATCAGATCAGCAGCCTTCTCGGCGACACCATACAAGCTGGCCGCGAGGTGAGCGCTAACTTGCAGAGGCACGACCGAAGCATCAACAACCCGAACATTAGATGTATCGTACACCTTCAGCTGTGAATCGACGACACCTGATACCCCCCGATCATCATTATAAAAATATGTGAGGAATAAAATGGCGTAACTTACCACCGAGGCTACGCTTCATCATAGCCAATGTACCGATTGGGTGAGATACCGCGAAGAACGTACGCCTAATCCATGTCACCCAGTCCTCTTCGCTGCCACGATCAGCGTCGTCAGGAACGTCACCAGCCGGCTGACATTCTCCTGTTGAAAGAGAGCTATAAAAGTCGCTATCAATACCGAGGTGAATCTTCGACCTATCAGAGGGCTGACCTGAGTGGAGGACTGGAAAGAATTGTGCGAGACAGCCGGGCACTGGCGATCTGGACATCAAGGTCCCAGTCGACGGAGAAATAGTTCACGTTGATCATCGGATGAGTAAATGGGTCGGTTGTCTGGCAAAGAACAATGAGCAAAAGAGGGGGATCAATTAGGTAGCTTGTTCATACCGATATTCTTACGGTTCCTCTGCTGAACGGGAGCAGCTGCCATTGATTAATCCCGAGATTACTGCACCTGGAAGGAGATCGGAATAGGATTACGAAGACAGGATGTTCAAACTCACTCTGGGTAACCGGTATCATAGAAAAGTTCAACGATAGGTGCTGATGGCTCAGATTAGCTCGCTGTATCAATCCAATGCTAAAGAAAGACCAACCATTCTTATTTATAATCAAATCAGCTTGTACACGGTAGATCTGTTCCAACGCATCCGCGCTCAAAGCGGAACCTGCTTGACTGCTCGCCCAAGAAGACAGATTAGATTGAATCTTGCTGATAGAGTCTGTTGCTTTGTCGCCGAATACTTGGTAGATGTTGGGGTATGCAATAGCGTCAGAAGGTCCGTCTCCTCCTTCGTCAAAACCATTACCGATAGCACCGAGTGAATTCATCGTCTGGTGATATGCATCAGTCACGCCTAAGTTAAATTGTGTCATTAATCGCTACCTGCTCCTGAAGATTCTTGCCAACGGTTTTGAGATCGATATAAGTACTGATTCCGAGGGGTCCCAAAACATCAGAGTCGCCGATTCCTGACAGTTGAAGGAGCGCGGGAGACTGAGATAGCAGATGAGGATGGTCAGAATGTCAAATAAAGGAGAATATACTTGGATGGCGCCGCATGCAATGATGACTTCCCTGTTTGCAAAGGCAGTATATCGGGAAGAACCTCCGCTAGCGGGAGCGAACTCGATGCCGGAAGCAATTAAAGGGATGCTACCAGCATTCGCCCAGTTGATTTTAGTAACCTTTCAAATAGCATTACAGCCTGAAATTTCACAGACACGGCAGCCGAACGTACCTGATATTCGACGAGAGCGAGCCAGTTAGGTCGTGCACCTTCGACTGGGGTAAAGTATGCTTGAACAGAGGACGAACGATGGTCGTTGTCGTGCCAGTCGATGGTCTACATGTATTCTTCAGTGTAGTAGAGAAATGAAGTTAAATCTTTACTCACCAATGGTGTGATTGATACTGCGTTTGCACCACCACCGTTAATATCAGGGGTATGGTAGATACCCGTAAGGTTATTAATTGTATCGATGAAGTAGCCTTGTTGAGGACCACCGTACATCCGATCGGGGTATGTCACCTGAACGGGTCCGGTGTATCCGTGGTATTCTTCAACGTATTGCGCGCCTTTTCCGGACTGTTGTTCGTTAGGTGGGGAGAAACTCTCTGACTGAAGTACGGACATTTGTCAAAATCTTTAATCAAAATAACTGCAGAGGGCGTACCTTTTTCATGTAACTGAACATGCTTTCCCAGTTCCACCCTGCGCTCGCCTCGTCTTCCTCCAAGAGGGAAGACCAAGCATCAAATTGCGCATTCAAGCCACGTGTGTAGTGACCACCATTTATCGAAGAACTTCCTCCCAAAGTTTTCCCCCTAGTTCATCTTTAGTTAGCCAGGGAATTGAATCGATTGGAGGGGACCTACCCATGCATGGTCTTGTCCTGGTCTGTTGTCCAGCTCCAATCCAATTCACTGCCGAAGGCCTGACCATAAGCATATATATCATATACACGAGGATCATGACGATTGTCTCCTCCAGCCTCGACGAGAAGAACAGTTACACCAGAGTCTTCCGCAAGTCGGGCTGCGACTGTTGTACCAGTAAGACCGGCACCAACGACAATGTAGTCGAATGATTGGCCATTAGCTTGGGATGGGTCGGTAGTGACTCCAGAGGCGCGTTTGGTTGAAGGAAAAGCAATAGTACGAGATACTAAAGCGAAGAATATGAGCGAAATTGTCCGAGAGCACATAGCAATGAGAGGCCACTGGATGAGATGATAAAAAGCAGGAAAACGCCCAAGTTATATAGGCCAAGAATTGGAGAACGTTGCCATGCAAGTAACCCATGATTACATTCCATCGGTCAAACTTACTTCAGGCTTGTCGTAACCAGGGAAATTGAGCGGTGCACTAGCGTCAGATCAAGTCTCCACTACTGTTCCGAGACTATTGTATATATGAATCAATTATGATGCTCCGTCCGTCGAATTCAATGAGCAGGAAGATTCATTAGAGGTGCTGCCGTCATCGCAAACTGGTCCAAGACATAAGTAGCTTAAACCCTGACCGGGACCTGTAGAGTAAGTTCATTGCTTGAAATATTAAGAATATGATGGAAGAGTTCCATACCTGTGGAGTACATCGATTCTGACAGAGCTTGAAGGACGACTGGCAGAAAGTTTGAGCGCACGGCAAGCGGACCGAGAATCCGGGCGGAGTTTCAATATCAATTCGACACCAACTTGCGCCGGTACAAACACCTTCCTTACGTTCTCTAAAATTGAATTAATGACTTGACCGCTAGTCCCATGTCGCATTACTCGCGTCTACACGAAATCATGGGAAGGGGCTCCATTCTATCCGTACGTTCCTGCCCTTAAATCATTTATGAACCTTCCAGTGACTGATCTTTTCTCATCGCAGGAAGACATTTGACTACTCCAAGGTGGAGCTACGAATCCTCAATCCCGCTCATGCTCGAAGTATTATTGTGTCCCCCTGACACATCCAATCGTGAACAGGACCTATTGGAGAAGGCTTGGAGCAAACGGTCGGAATGGCAAGTTGACAAGTAAGACCGAGAGAAACTTCGTACGTGACGTCGTTTTCTTCTGAGAGGCAAACTTAGCTTATCCAGTTACAGTATACCACAAGCAATATCGATCCTTGCTAGTTAGAGGTGCTCGAGACGAATTATGTTTACCACCGGAGAAGGAGTTGGCGGTTGGGGTGATCTCTGAATGATGAGGAAAAGCTTTGCGGCAACCATCGGAGAAGGATGGTTTCATCAGCAGGGGCGAGAAATTTGCGTAGCGTAAAGATTTGGTGGGTTGATTTCGCTGTGCAGACGCGCCACGCTGGACTGGATTACTGAATCCTTGCGCTTAGGCAAAGATTTCGGATACCACGGGAAAAACGATCTCTTTCCTGCTCGAGATCAGACTTTTCCTATTGTTTCGCTGCTTCCTAAGTACCTGGTCTCTCTTCAACAAGACTGGTAAGCTTCCTGTCCTTCTCTTTGGTCTAACTCAAGTTTTTACGTTGAGTAACAGACAAAGCACCGCTGTAATATTCCGAATTTCTCTGCAGTGTATCCGACATCTGTTGAGACTATGTGGCTTGGCGTTCGTTCTTCATGTTCTAATAGGACACTACCACAGTCAATTGACATACACTCAGAATCCTTAGTTCCGATTTATACCTTGGACCTAGATTCAATCGAAGGACCTTGTATTATATACGTAACTGGTTTTGATTCAGAGCGGGCTTTTCCATCCTCGCTGCTTTTATCCCGTGTCTCGTCAACATGACTGGTACGTGGCCCGATGACTTCTATCTTTTCAGTCAGCTCATGGTTTCTTACAGTAGCCAAGGGTACTCTTGATGGACACCTACTCAAATCACTGAACAAGTGCATCGAAATCGTACGATATCCCTGTCGAGGAGAAAGCAACTGCGCTATCATCTGAACTCCCCCGTCGTCCTATATCCACAATACTTTATGATGGCCAACGTTGAACAAAAAGCCGGATATGTCGAGTACTTTCGAGAGCTCTTCACGTTATCTTCACGTCTCCGTCGCTATACTTGATTTCAACCCCTGCAAAACGGCGTTGTACGTCCGAGTGATCGACTTCGAGCGGCGTTGTACGCTGAGTGATACAGAGTGATACTCGGTTAACGCAATGCCGAGGACATGCCGCCGCCTGCATGACTCGGCACAACATTTTCTTGGCCGCCTATCCTTGGCCCGACCTAATGTCTTTCCTCAACCAACGCCGAGCACATCCTGGAACATATTCTTAGTATCAGCTCGCAAACTGAGGTCAGTAATATACAAAATCCGGCGTTGAACATCTAACTTATAGGCAGACCCGGTAGATAATGAGACACGCCAAGAATCCCCCATTATCAAGTACCCAACGCCAAGAAATCCCCTGTGGGACTTATAAACCCCGATCTCGACAGCTCATTTCTGCCCTTCCCACCCCCGACCAATACGTGAATGACAGAACCTTCTTCGCATAGCACAAGCCATGTCCTGCCCGAGCCAACACGTACTCTCACCGAGGATGACGACGAGCCGCCTAGTAGTGGGAATAGCAGCAATACAAGTGACGGGGATCAAGTAACGGAACCGGGAGATAAGGAACGGGGTGAATGCGAGCCTGATAGGGATCCCGCCCCCTCGCACGCTGCCTCCCTCCTCTCAGCCCTGCGCTACACCTCTTTGAACATCCTCCTCCTTTGCATTCCTGTCTCCTGGGCCCTGCATTTCGCTGCCCAATCCGCTACGCTCATTTTCGTGTTCTCAGCGCTCGGGATCATACCCCTGGCTGCTCTCCTTGGCTATGGCACGGAACAAGCTGCGACGAGGACAAGTGCAAGCATAGGAGGTTTGCTCAATGCGACTCTGGGGAATGTGGTGGAAATGATTATTGGCGGGGTTGGGCTGCAGAAGGTTCGTCTGCTCACCCTTTTCGTGGGTATCAACTAACGCGACTCCTGCAGTGCGACCTCGAGTTGGTGCAGAGTTCCTTTTTAGGTGGCTTGCTCAGCAATCTCCTTCTCGTGCTGGGTATGGCGTTCCTCGTAGGGCCTGCGGAACAAGAGTTCCATCCTATGGTCGCGCAGGTGAACTCGAGTCTGATGATGGCCGCCGTGGCGGCATTGGTAGTACCGACAATCCTGGTAAATATTTATCGATTGGTACATGTTTGTCTCGTGTTGACGTTAATCACAGAATGGATATCTCGAAGAACGGCTCCCGCAAGGAGAGGAACTGGGAGTCTTGTTAGAATTGAGCAGGGTGAGCTCTGTCGTGTTGATTTTGGTGTACTGTGTCTACGTAGGTCCTATCGTATCCGATTTGACTTGGCTTGACTGATAACGTTCCGCAGTTGTACTTTCAGTTCTTCTCGCATAAGCATTATTATGTAGACGGCTCGCCACATGGGAAGGATTCGTGCGACTCGGAAAACCCTCTTCCCCGGCCTAAAATAAAAATGAACCTCCCCGTGTCACTCCTCATCCTCGTCCTCTGCACCGTACTAGCCTACTTCACAGTCGAGCACCTCGTCTCGTCCCTCGACGGCCTTGCCTCTTCCCACCGCTCGTGGCTCACGCTGATCATCATCCCCATCATCAGCAACGCCGCCGAGCACACCACCGCCGTCGTCGTAGCGCGGAAAGGAAAACTCGATCTGGCGATGCACGTCGCTGTGGGGAGTTCAGTGCAGATTGCGCTCGGGGTCATCCCTGGGCTGGTGTTGGTGGCGTGGGCGATGGGCAGGCCCCTTGGGATGGTGTTTGATCCGGTACAGACAGTGGTTCTGTTCTTTACAGTTTTTCTGGTCAAGTTTACGATTGAGGATGGGAGGAGTCATTATTTGAGCGGGGTCGTACTAGTGGCGGTGTATACGTTGGTGGCGGTTTGGTTTTGGGACGTTCTGGATGCGGGGGTGATCGTGCAGGGTGTTGAGGTTGGGTGTGGGGCATAGGGGCTGTTGCGGCGACTTCATGCAACCGAAACTTTTATGGTGTTTATCATACCTCCCACACGATCACGCCCCGAATGCCTTCTTGACATGATTGAGTCGAGGTGCACTGTTCCCAGTGGTGTCGTTAGGCTCGATACAGTGTTTCTGAGACTAAATCAGTCCTTGTTTGATTCTGTCGGTTCTGGTGACTCAGATGAAGAGCAGACAATGATCTATCGCATAAACATCCTGAAGGAGGCTGGGATGAAGATAGAAATTATATAGAGATTATCTACGGTGAATACTGTTACGTCTCGGACGTTTCAGTACTAATGAAAGCCATTCAGTATATCAGAAGGTATATTGGAAGAATTACCGGCGACGTGAATATACTCTAAATACTCTAAATTGTAGGAAATCCGCCGTTTAATACTTCATGGTATTCAACCCATGATCTAGTACCCATCCGTGCTGCTAATCTCCCGATCAAAGACCGGGAACCAATCCCTTCTAAGAAAGCGCGGCTAGAGCATATAATCATTCCCTTCTTGCATCGTGTCAACATAACATTGACACGGCGTTCATTTACGAGAAAACCGAGCTTCTTAGACCGTACGACGGAAACAATGATATAGTCATCCTCGTTTCCTGAGAAATATGAGTTTCGTTTGAGACTAATAACCGTGCACGACGTACCCTGAAAGGAGTCGACATTGTAACATTTATCCTTCCAATTCAGCATAGCGTCCTTTAGCGCATCCTCGATGGTGGACCTCTGCGCGTCGTATGGTGTTATCACCTTGAATGATTTGCCGCGGTCCTGCATTATTTTTGCAATCTTGACCACAGCTTGAATTTCCTTCTCATTCTGAACTCGAGCGTGAATGGGTCAAAACAATTGTTTTAAGGCAAAGACTCACAATCCAACTTCTACTTCTTTCCCCTTCTCGTCCACCCGATACGTTGACAAAACGGCAGCAGATCTTCGATGATATATCATGGACCGTTTTGAGTTGCTTGTTATAGACATGTTCGGATATAAAATCCCCAATTTGCCTAGGTATACGATCTGTGACCGTGTGGGCATAGTCGTAGCGTATGTGAGCAAGTAAATTCACTCACACTGGGTGTCAAGCATGTGTCTTTTCCGATCAAGGTGTTGCTTTTCGAAGACACTCTCCAAGTCTGGAATGTCACTGTGACCAAAGGGCGGCACTGCAAGTTCTGAGATAATGGCCAGCCGATAAAAAAAGACGATAAACGTACGCTGTTTATGGTCTCCAATGAAGACCATCTTCCGCAATGAAGATGCAAATCGGTGTATCACAGGCAAATAGTCACCGACTTCGATCTGACTTGCTTCGTCGAAGATGATTGTTTGGACTGGCACTATCTGAGCAATAGTGGACATCCTGTCATTGGACAGCATACTGAGGGTGCACAGTATGATGCGCGAATCTAGAAGCTGCCTTTCCATAGCCGTTCTGTCGGGGACAAAATCATCCGAACGGACAAGGTTGGATTCTATCAATCTATACAAGTGCTCATGCCTACAGGAATGTGACCGAGTGAAGGGTTTCAATATTCAAGAAAAAAATCACTCACCAGTCGTAGTGGAAGTCTTTCGAGACGAGAATCTTGAACCCTAAGAATCCAATCGATGCCAGCTTTTCCGCAATGTTCTTGACAGCAACATTGGAATGTGCTACAAGCCATAGTGTCCGATTCCGGTCAGTGGACGCGACTATACTCGTGACTGCGGCTGCTATGACAGTCGTCTTCCCTGTACCTGGGGGCCCTTGAATCACGGTGACCCTATCGGCATCACGGTTTGAAAGGATAAGATCGACTGCGCAACGCTGAGAGTCGTTCAATTGGCCTGGGAAGTTGATGGTAACGCTGCGAGTAAAAGATGGAATGGTAGCCCAGGATATTTGTGATCGTGGGAACCAGAGTGCTTGGATGAACGGGTGGTCGAGGATGGCAGATGACTGCTGTAGAGCAGCGAGAATTATCATAGCTCTGGCCTCCTCAGCTTGAGTCGGCTCTTCTCTACCTATAGTTGTAACTTTGAGGGGAGCTTGGGTTGACAAGTGGCCTTGAATTGCGATCGTTGCAGCACGTCCGTTAACTCTAAGGACACGGCCGGGGCTAGTCTTGGGTTGACCATTCGGATCAGTGGATGAGATTTCCATGGTCTGCATGCCTTAGATTAATGGAAGAATGTGTGTGGACTGAAGCACTACCCACCTGCCATGCACCTGATTGTCTGATTCGATTCTTGAATCTAGCAGAAGAAACATTCAGTTTGCCGGACTTGTGGCTAAACGCTGCTTCAACTTCATTGCGCATTCTGACAGGCCTCAAATCCGTCAGACGGTGCGCTTGTCGATTAATCTTTGCCAGAACCATTAAGCGCTATGACAACATAAGTCAGCATGGTTCATCACATTACTAACAACGAAGTCCTTACTGCTTGATCGAAGTTCAACGTAGAGATCTTCGGAGCGTCGCTTGCGGCCGCCATGTGGTCAAGCATCGCTGCGCGGCATGCTGACCATGCTTGCAAAGCGGTGTGCTTTTCAAGCGTCTGACTGCTTTCCTCCTGCTGAAACAGAGCCGCGACGTTGTTACGATCGAGCTGGGTGTGATAGCTTTTGCCGCCCAAAGCAATGAGAACTGACTCGAAGGATTGTCGGTTAGACTGAAGGTCCAATAGGTCTACACCATTGACGATAGGCAAATTAAGGTCAAGTATGAGCGATAGTGCTACGTTGTCCATGCGAAAGGCGTATTTCGGATAAGGGCTGCACAGAACAATATATTCTAGCAAGTCTAGGGCATAGCGCTTTCCTGAAGCACGAAGATTCCCCCCTCCCTTTCCCTGTCTTGAAAAGTCGATGATCATAACGTGGGTCGAAGATGCAAAAGCGACAGTGGAAAGTGCGCATTTGGAGCCATAGACAGGCGCTATTCCAAGATGACCGGTTGTAGCTACAGAAGCCATGAAATAGTGTAGTGTCACTGCTCTCAAGGCATCCACATTGTGACGAGAGACAATAATTGGAGGATGAGGAGTAGTGTAGATGTTCTGTCGGAGGGCAAAACTGGGGCGTTGGACATCCATGCTGGAGGTGGTAGGAAGGAAAGGGGAGGCAGGCAGGCAGCAATGCTGTTGATCGATTTAAGAACGGCATCAGCCATGAGGCGCCATCAAGCGGCCTTTGTGACTCGACGACCAGCGCTTGTCCTAGGAAATTCCGGAATACAGAGAATATGGCCGTATTTAGCTTGCATCCTTCTTAAATTGCATGGAGACGGAGCCGCTTACCTGGATTCGAAACTTCGCCGCCATCGTGGTGTGAGGCGGATCGTCGATGCACGTGATCGCCCTTTACTTTCTTGCCGAGGTTTCCATTTTACGACCTTGACCATCGACGCCCATTCACAATGGACACTCCTCTCGCATTCGGTGTCGGTGCTATCACTGCCGCTCTCGTTGGTCATCAGCTACTTCGGAGGGCCGGACAAGGAGCAGCAGAGCAGTGGGTCAAAGGAGGTTCAAAGCCAAGATGGATAGAAAAGAGGCTATTGCCATCCTTGGACTAAAGTGCGTCACAGCGATTCTCTGTTCAACTTTCATTCACGGTTTCTTCTCTAGGGACGGACACCTGCTGCGTAATAGAGTAAAAGATGCTCACCGTCATATAATGCTCACCAATCATCCCGACAGAGGCGGCTCTCCCTATCTTGCCAGCAAAATTAACGAAGCAAAAGATTTGCTCGACAAGACGGAAGGCAAACGATGACAGAAAGTTGCGATTTCGCAAGTAGGTTCTCCAGTTTACTCATACATTCCAAAGCTAATTACTTTGCAGGCTATACTTACTTATAACTGTACAAAGGACATGTATCAATACGTTCTCATCACCCAGCTAATATGACAATGTCTGCATCTCATTTCACTAAACAGCATCCACCTGTCAGCATGCATTTTCATCTCGGTCTCATTCCCGGTAGTCCACCGTGATTAAGGCATGCTGCATGCCGTCGTCATGAAAGGCGAACCCACTTTACCACATTTACCTGTTCTCCTCGTTGGCGGTCGGACTCTTCAGTCGATTTTTAAAGAGCACTACTACATTAAAGCTTCAAAGGCACGGAAAGTTGTTAATGCCCTGTTTGGAGCAGAGAACTTCGTGGGCACGTTCCCTCTGAAAGGCGGTATTGATGTCTACATGGCTACTGTTGCCGCATTTGATGTCTGCGTGCGACGTATCTATCGATATTAATTCTACATGTTGCTGGCCCAAATGGAGCGTGTTCAGAAGCGTTTCATTCGGCGATTGCTGGGCATCACTCAGCGTTCCGTCGCCATGTTGTTTTCTGAGTCCGGCATATGGCCCATCAAGTATCGTAGAATCATGCTCGCCCTTCGCTACTGGCAATACGTGCTGATACGCCTGCCAAGCGTACACCCTTGAAAACGCGTCTAAAAATTCAATTCTACTACTATACAAGCTGTATTTGTAACTGTAGTAGCAAGTAAATATAAGCAAGGTAACCAGAAAGCAACACGGCGTGGAACAGTGGGACTTAGCCATGGAACCCCTCAAGTTTTGTGCGTGCACTGGAAGACGGCGAAGGGAGATTACAACCATTAGTGGTGACGTGACCGTCGGTGAGGCCTTGAGGGAGGAGGCGTGAGGAGAGGGTATTGAGCACCGATGTCAGGAGGGCATACATCCATTCTCGCAAATGTCAGGATACCAGGATAGAAGGAGAACGTACGTTGGGGGGCTCGCCTGTGCTCCCCAGATCCAAATCTGACTCTGCCGCCTGTTTCCACAACAAAGCACCCTCCATTCGAGGGATCGGGGCCACCTCGGTTAGCCTTCTAGCTGGTCTGAGCTCTGCAGGGCGTATTCCGCTCTCGTGAGAGTGATCAAGCCCATCCAGTCGCAAGGTCTTGCAGGCATCCGAGGGCAGACGACGCAGCCGATGTTGAACCTCCTTTGTCGCATAACGGGGTACGCACCCTCTTGGCGGTAGAACTTTCAGGGGTATATGTACCTGCCTGCGAGGATGTCAGAATGCCAGAGGATAAGAACGTACAAAGGGGAGTTCCATCTGTGTTCCCCAAGTCTGAAATTTCCATCTGCGACCCTTCCTGCAACAAATCACCTCACATCCCAGCCGTCAACACCTCGTTGGGTGTGCGTTTGCATGTCTAGAGACCTGGACATGGCATCGTCGTCACATGCAGTTGAAGTCGGGGTAATCGTGAGACTGGGTCTTGCTGTAAAGTCCTCGGTTTGTGCATGGTTGATGCGTTCTGAGGGGGCGACGCGGGAGCCGTTGAGATGGGCATGACAAGGGCGTCGATAATTGCTGGCAACGTCACGAGAGGTGAGTTCGAAGCAAGAAGATCGTGATATAAGATTGCCAGCAAGGGGGAAAGTGGCGAAACCGCAAAAACCGCAAAAGCCGCAAAGCCCGTGATGGACAATGGAAAAGGTTCCCACGATCGACTCAGTGAAGGTGGTTCGGCAAAATGTGTGTCGGACGATGCAAAATTCCCATGGTCGTTCCCGTCGACATAATGACCGGGTATTCCTATATTCATAGGACTCGGAAAATGTGTCAGCTGAGCAAAGAGGTATAGGATTATCGGTAAATTATATGTTCGGTTATCAGGTCTTCAAGGACGGATGGCAAACCATCTCCACCCTCTACTTGAAGAGCATAAATGCGACTGTGACGATCATGTGGGCCGAGGCGTCTAATCTTTCACGGGTATAAACTAACAATTCCCTAGGATGACATGCTAACCTGGGTGAACGAGGCTGCTCCTTCTGGGCGTCAATCCGTCGAAGACATTGCTCTCTGCATGCTCAACGTTAATTTTACTGCACTACATACGACTGCTATGGTTCGTCTGTACGTGGCTGCTTCTTCGCATAGCACCGCTAATGTTTGATTACCTAGACGTTTACGCATGTGGTCTTACACCTTGCCTCGAAGCCAGAATACATCGACATTTTACGATCCGAGATAGAGGATGCTGCAAACGGTAATCCCCTTGACCAGGCTGCTTTGGAACGCTGCTGGAAGTTGGACTCGTTTCTGAAGGAAAGTCAGCGTTTGAATGGTCTAGGCGCCCGGGAGCCTGTTCCCGCTTTATGACGTCGTATATTATCCTTTGACATGGTTGTATCCAGTTTCCCTTCCTCACTTGACAGTGACCCAGTACACCTTCGCAGATGGAACTACCCTTCCAGCGGGAACGCTTGTTGCTGCTGCACCAACTGCGACACACGTCGATCCTGAATTATTCGATGATCCGCATCGATTCGACGGTCTGAGATTTATAAACTGCGAATGTCTGTGGGTGACATTGGGGAAAGTAAACATCGGCTGACTAGCACTGCCGGCGAGTATCTTGCGTTTGGCGGAGGAAGACATGTATGGTAAGATAACACCATTCCGTTGTAGTCAGTGAGCTGACCTTGGCGGTCGTTTAGCCCCGAACGCTTCTTTGCTGCGCTGGAAATGAAAATGATGCTGGCGTCATTGATAATGAGATACGATCTACGTCTGGAAGAAGAAGGAAAGAGACCTGATGATTGGTGGTTTGGTTCCGTATGCACTCCATCTAGGAGCGCAAAGATTTTGTTAAGACACCGGCTTGGGCAATGAATATTGATTCCTGATGCTTGATATCTTGAAGGAATGAGCAACTAAACACGTATTGCGCCACGACCACCCGTTGACAGTTAATTATCGCAAGTCCTTCTTGTTCTCTAATACACGCCACAAGAAAGTATTAAACCAACGATGAGCTTGCAATCAAGAAAAGAATATGGGTCGCAGACGGAGAAGGAAGAGTTTGAACTCAATTCCGGAAATACCACATCAAAGGATTGCAGATTCGAAGATGACAGCAACTCGGATTTTCAGATGGGTACTTATGTGATAACGACTCTGCGCTCCTTCCTACAATAAAGCAACCAAACTGAAACCGTTTGAAGCAAGTTGTCAATTATTTCTTTGGCCATGACTTCGAGTATCTGTCGATAGTTTTAATCAGTATCTAGACATTGTATCAAAGAGTACACACACGTTGCGAAGACCCTATTGGACGTTGAACAACACTTGGTCACTAGCAAGGCAGACTCCACAGGAAGCTCGATACGAGGCTTTGATCAGATCAGCAGCCTTCTCGGCGACACCATACAAGCTGGCCGCGAGGTGAGCGCTAACTTGCAGAGGCATGACTGAAGCATCGACGACCCGGATATTTGATGCATCATACACCTTCAGCTGTGAATCGACGACACCTGATACCCCCCGATCATCATTATAAAAATATGTGAGGAATAAAATGGCGTAACTTACCACCGAGGCTACGCTTCATCATTGCCAATGTACCAATTGGGTGAGACACCGCGAAGAAAGTACACCTAATCCATGCCGCCCAGTCCTCTTCGCTGCCGCGATCAGCGTCGTCAGGAACGTCACCAGCCGGCTGACATTCTCCTGCTGAAAGGTAGCTATAGAAGTTACTATCAATACTCAGTTGAACTTTCGATCTATAAGAGGATTGGCCTAAGTGGAGGACTGGAAAGAACCGTGCGAGACAGCCGGGCACTGGCGATCTGGACATCAAGGTCCCAGTCAACAGAGAAATAATTTACGTTGATTGTCGGGTGAGTGAATGGGTTGGTGGTCTGTGGAGGAGGGTAAACGGCAGAGAGCTACAATTAGACTACTTAGCATACCGATATGTGCACGGTTCCTCTACTAAATGGGAGCAGTTGCCATTGATTAATTCCAAGAGTCGAAACAGATGCACCGCAACTGAAAGAAGGTCAGGAATTGGGATAGGATCACGAATTGGGAGTGATCAAACTTACTCTGGGTAACCTGTGTCAAAGAAATACTCGACTATAGGCGCTGGAGGCTTATGTCAGCCCACTGTATGTGCTAATATTATATGAAAGAAAGACCGACCATTCTTATTTATAATCAAATCAGCTTGTACGCGGTAGATCTGCTGCAAAGCATCCGCGTTCAAGGCTGAACCCGCTTGACTGGTGGCCCAAGAAGACAAATTGGATTGAATCTTGCTAATAGAGTCGGCTGCCTTGCCACCGAATACTTGGTATATATTGGGGTATGCGATGGCATCGGAGGGTCCATCTCCTCCTGTGTCAAAGTCTTTACGGATAACACCGAGTGAGTTCATCGTCTAGGTAATAGGGATATGCATCAGCCATGACTAGGTTGAATTGCGTGTAACACCGATAGCTACCTGCTCCTGAAGATTCTTGCCAACGGTTTTGAGATCGATATAAGTACTGATCCCAAGAGGTCCCAAGACATTAGAGTCACCGATGCCGGACAGTTGAAGGAGTGCGGGAGACTAAAATAGCAGATGAGGACGGTCAGGGCGACAGGTACTGGAGCATATACCTGGATGGCACCGCATGCAACGATGACTTCTCTGTTTGCAAAGGCAGTGTATCGGGGAGAGCCCCCGCTAGCGGGAGCGAACTCGACGCCAGAAGCAGTCAAAGGAATGCTATCAGCATTCGCCCAGTTGATTTTAGTAACCTTTCAAAGTGTATTTAAGCTCTAAACTTCGCTGACGCGGCGACCGACCATACCTGATGTTCGACGAGAGTGAGCCAGTTAGGACGTGCATCTTCGACTGGGGTAAGGTATGCCTCGACAGAGGACGAACGATTATCACCGTGGTGCCAATCGATCGTCTATGCGTATTCTTCAGTGTAGTGGAGAAATGAAGCTAAATCTTTACGTACCAATGGTGTGGTTGATACTGCGTTTGCGCCACCGCCATTAATATCGGGAGTATGGTAGATGCCCGTAAGGTTGGTAATTGTATCGATGAAGTAGCCTTATTGAGGTCCACCGTACATCTGATCGGGGTATGTCACTTGGACGGGTCCGGCGTATCCGTGGTATTCTTCAATATATTGCGCTCCTTTCTCAGACTGTTGTTCGTTAGGCGGGGAGAAAGTTTCTGACTGAATGGGAAGATTTTATCAAATATCGTTAACCAAAATGATTGCAGGGGGCGTACCTTTTTCATGTAACTGAAGATGCTTTCCCAGCTCCACTCTGCGCTTGCCTCGTCTTCCTCCAAGAGGGAAGACCAAGCATCAAATTGTGCATCCAAGCCACGTGTGTAGGCACCGCCATTTATCGAAGAACTTCCGCCCAATGTTTTCCCCCTAGTTCGTCTTGAGTTAGCCCGAGTTTTCGACCGACTGGAGGGGGCTTACCCAGCAATGGACTTCAAGCCGCCGTCTGTTGGCCAGCTCCAAACCAATTCACTGCCGAAAGCCTGACCGTAAGCATATATATCATATACGCGAGGATCACCACGATCGTCCCCCCCAGCTTCGATGAGAAGAACCGTTACGCTAGAGTCTTCTGCAAGTCGGGCTGTGACGGTTGTACCAGTAAGGCCGGCACCAATGACAATGTAGTCAAAGGATTGGCCATTAGCCTGGGATGGGTCAGTAGTGACTCCAGATGCGCGTTTGGTTGAAGGAAGAGCAAGAGCAAGAGATACTAAAGCGAAGAGTACGAGCGAAATTGCCTGGGAGTGCATAGTAATGAGATGCCGCTAGATGCGATGAGAAACTGCATGAAAATGCCCAAGTTATATAGGCCAGGAATTGGAGAACATCATCATGCAAGCAACCCATGATTACATTCCGTCGGTCAAACTTGCTTCAGGCTTGTCGTAACCAGAGAAATTCAGGCATCAAATCAAGTCTCCACTACTGTTCCGGGACCCTTGTATATATGAATCGATTATGATGCTCCACCCGTCGAATTCAACGGACATGAAGAGTCATTAAAGGGTTGCCGTCATCGCAAACGCTGGTTCGGATGCACTGAAAGAGCAGATACAAGATACAGGCGGCATGAACTTGATATGTAGAGCCTGTTTATAGCTAAGAATATGAAGATTATGGTGGAAGTCCTGTTACCTGTATACCTACGGAGTAGGCTGGTGAGGACTGACAGATTGGTCATGAAAACTTAACCTACAACAAGCGGACCGAGAAACCGGGCGGAGCTTCAATATCAATTCTGGGGACCTTGCGCCGATATCACCACCACCATCTTACGTTTCCTCCGAATTCAATCAACGAATTGACCGTGCATCTCGTGTCGCATTACTGACACTCACATGGGGTCACAGGATTGAGTTCCATTCTATACGTATGTGCTTGTGCTTACAGCATTCGCGAGCCTAACTGATCTTTCTCATTGCAGAGATACAAGAAGACATTGACTACTCCAAAGTGGAACTATGATTCATCAGGAAGCATTAATCTCTGGTTGATGCTGAACAGGACCGGCTGGAGAAGACTCGGGGTGAATATTGGAATGGCGACTTGACAAATAAGGCTGCCAGGGAGGGAGAACGTACGCGATGTTGTTTTTCTTTCTGAGGCGAAGGCTTATCCAATTACAGTGCAGTATATCTCAAACAACGTCGTCCTGGCTAGCTGGCATTATTACAGTCACTCAAGGCGGATTGCGTTCACCACAGAAGACGGGAGTCGGTAGTTGGACCATGCGTGGAAAGGCTCTACGACGACTATTGGAGAAGGATGATTTCGTTATCGCAGGGATGAGAAGATTGTGTAGCGTAAAGCTTCGGTGAGCTGATTTTGCTGTGCAGACAGCGGACGCCCGACTAGATTACTGAATTTATTGCGCTTAGGAAGAGACTTTGGACATCTTAACAAAAAATTGTTCCTCCCTCGCTCCAGGTCATGGTCTAACTTTTCCTGTCGTTTCGCTGCTTCCTGTCCGGTCTCTTTTCAACAAGACTGGTAAGAGGCTCCTCATCCTTTCTCTTTCGTTCGACTCATGTTTTTACGTATAGTAACGGAAGCACCGCTGCAATGTCTCGAATTTCTCTGCAGGATGTCCGACATCCGTTGAGACTATGCGGTTGGGCGTTTTCCCGTTCTAACAAGACGCTACCACAGTCAAATGACGTACGCTCAGTATCCTTCGTTCCGATTTATACCTTGGACCTAGATTCAATCGAAGGTCCTTGTGTTACGTTGGCTCAGATACGTAATCGGTTTTGATTCAGAGCGGGCTTCTCCATCCTCGATGCTTAAGCGCCTATACCCCGTGTCTCGTCAACATAACTGGTAAGTGACCCGATGACTTTTATCTTTCAGTCAGCTCATGGTTTCTTAGTACAGTAGCCAAGGGTGCTTTCAATGGACACCCACGAAAATCCCTAATCAAGCGCATGGAAATCTTACGAAACCCCTGTCGAGGAACAAGCAACTGCGCCATCCGTCGTCTTATATCGATAATACTTTATAATGGTCAACGTTGAACAAAAAGCCGGATATGTCGAGTGCTTTCGGGAACTCTTCAACGTTATCTTCATGTCTCCGTTGCTATGTCCGATTTTAATCCCTGCAAAATGGCGTTGTACGTCGAGCGATTTCGAGCGGCGTTATACGCTGAGTGATAGAGTGATATTCGGTCAACGCAATGCCGAGGAGATGCCGCTACCCGCATGACTCGGTGCAATATTTTCTTGGCCGCTTATCCTTGGCTCGACCTAATGTCTTTCCTCAACCAGCGCCGAGTACATCCTAGAACATATTCTTAGGATCAGCCCGCAAACTGAGGTCAGTAGCATACAAAATCCCACGTCGAACATCTAACTTATAGGCAGACCCGGTAGATAATGAGACACGCCAAGAATCCCCCATTATCAAGTACCCAATGCCAAGAAATTTCCTGTGACTTATAATGCCCGATCTCGACAGTTCATTTCTGCCCTTCCCACCCCAGAGCAATACGTGAATGACAGAACCTTCTTCGCATAGCACAAGCCATGTCCTGCCCGAGCCAACACGTAATCTCACCGAGGATGACGACGAGCCACCTAGTAGTGGGAATAGCAGCAGTCCAAACGACGGGGATGAAGTAACGGAACCGGGAGATAAGGAACGAGGTGAATGCGAGCCGGATAGGAATCCCGCCCCCTTGCATTCTGCCTCCCTCCTCTCAGCCCTGCGCTACACGCCCTTGAACATCCTCCTCCTTTGCATTCCTGTCTCCTGGGCCCTGCATTTCGCTGCCCAATCCGCTACGCTCATTTTCGTGTTCTCAGCGCTCGGGATCATACCCCTGGCTGCTCTCCTTGGGTATGGCACGGAGCAAGCTGCGGCGAGGACAAGTGCGAGCATAGGCGGTTTGATCAATGCGACTCTGGGGAACGTGGTGGAAATGATCATTGGTGGGGTTGGGTTGCAGAAGGTTTGTTTGTCGTTTTGCTTTTCTGTGGATATTGATTGACTGACGCGACTCTTACAGTGCGACCTCGAGCTGGTGCAGAGCTCCCTATTAGGTGGTTTGCTAAGTAATCTCTTTCTCATGCTGGGTATGGCGTTCCTCGTAGGCCCGGCCGAACAAGAGTTCCACCCTGTGGTCGCGCAGGTCAACTCGAGTCTAATGATGGCCGCTGTGGCGGCATTGGTAGTACCGACGATCCTGGTGAGTATGTATCAAAAGATAAACATTTATCTCGTGTTGATGTAATCACAGAACGGATATCTCGAAGAGCGGCTCCCGCAAGGCGAGGAACTCGGAGTCCTGTTAGAACTGAGCAGGGTGAGCTCGGTCGTGTTGATTTTGGTGTACTGCATCTACGTAGGTCCTACCTTGTCCGATTTAGTTTGGCTTGGCTGATAACACTGTGATTCCGCAGTTGTACTTCCAGTTCTTCTCGCATAAGCATTATTATGTGGATGGCAAACCTCACAGGAAGGATTCGTGCGAATCGGAAAACCCTCTTCCCCGGCCTCCCACCGCTCGTGGCTCACACTGATCATTATCCCCATCATCAGCAACGCCGCCGAGCACACCACCGCCGTCGTCGTAGCGTGGAAAGGAAAACTCGATCTGGCGATGCACGTCGCGGTGGGGAGTTCAATGCAGATTGCGCTCGGAGTCATCCCTGGGCTGGTGTTGGTGGCGTGGGCGATGGGCAGGCCCCTTGGGATGGTGTTTGATCCGGTACAGACAGTGGTTCTGTTCTTTACAGTTTTGCTGGTCAAGTTTACGATTGAGGATGGGAGGAGTCATTATTTGAGCGGGGTGGTGCTCGTGGCGGTGTATACGTTGGTGGCGGTTTGGTTTTGGGATGTTCTGGATGCAGGGGTCGTCGTGCAGGGTGTCGAGGTTGGGTGTGGGGCGTAGGTGCTGCATGCAACTGAAACCTCTGTGGTTTTTTATCATTCCCTCCCCCCCGGCGTCTTCCTTCTCCTCTCGATTTGCATATGCCGTTCTTTCTCTGCATCGTTCGCTTATTACTGAGTCTTTCTTGTGATGTGATGATGTTCTTGTTTCCAATCTTGAGAGTGTTTATCACTTACCGTGGTCATCATAGACGATCCCCACACAATCCTAGCATCGTGTGCAAGTCTGACAGTGACCTAAACTGCATGATATGATCAACAGGATGAGTGGAGACATCGATGTGGTGTTAAAGTACGAGGAAACGAAATCTTCCTTTCCGAGGTCCGAAGTCCAGAAGATATCTATCCGTCCGAGCCTTGGACCACAATCGGTATCAAATATAACTATCGATCTTGATAGTAGCACCATCAAACTCCGCTGGTGTGCCCTTTTTCGACTTGTCTTGACTAGCCTTATGAGCCGCATAAAGTGACTTTTGGAAATTCAAGACCTGAAGCAAAGCGTTATAGAGGAATCAAGAGCCGCGAACATTCGATTCATTTCGTCCAGCAAAAGCTCATCTAGCATAACTCAGAAGCGCATCCTACCCTACCCTGGCCGTCTGTCAATTGAGTGCGACCGTGACGCCGACTTCTTCCCTACTCTCGATCGGCACTGCCGACTACATGGGTATCCTCACTTTTCATGCGCGAATCTTCATCAATTCTTTCACTAATTAAAAGCTACGACAGTTTCTCAGGCCCGATTCACTTAGCGTGGGATCAAACTGTTAGCTCTGCTTCCACGGTACGACCTGCTTTCTTTTATTGTTTCGCTCATCGCAACTATTTCGCTAGGTATCCTCTCAATTATCCAGGGATTGATCCTCGGAGTTGCCCCAGCAGTGGGTGCCTATTACTTGTTACCGACCTGCAAGCTGATCCGTATGGTTCCAATTATTACACCACATCTATGGTCGTACATTTCCAGTTGTTCCGATCAAAATCAATGTATGTAGAAACCATCCTTGACCCACGCGTGTGTCTGAGGCATTGGACACGCGACAACTCGCTAGTGCTCACTGCTGACACACCAATCTCTTCACTACGCTATACTTATAGCCTTATCAGCAGCCTTCATCAGGTACTGCGATAGATTCTTGGGGGAAGTATTTGCGATGTGGTATCAAGACTCATCTGTCGCTCGTATCCCTCCGACCTTGCGCTATGGTACCTTCTTTGGCCGTCAATGACTCAGATCGGGTAGACGATGATTTAGACTCAACCAATGTAACAGGGGAGAAAGGAACTGCTGGAGCTGCAATACCTACAGCCGGTTGTCGAAGGATGATCTATGACTTGCTGTCAGATTCCTGAATGTATGAAGGAATAAAGGCGGTAACTTGAGTATATATCTATAGAGCATCGAAGGAACACTGTACCTGATGCCAAAGAAGCTCATTCATATGTTTCCCCACAATAACCGGCGCCCTTCTATCCCACCGGCCCAGAAATTGGTCGACGTCAATATACGTCGACTCTTCGATCAAGTCACCCGACTCGAGAGCACTAACGAGTGCTTGCGTGAAAATTCCATTGTACCCATTTATTCTCTTCATCTCCTTCGCACGCTCGTATTCTCGACACGCAGCTAATACGACTTGACACTCCGTATTTGGGAGCCAATCATTTGCAGATATAGATCGATAACCAGGCAAATCTCTCATTCTGGAATCTGCAGCATCGAACATATCTTTAATTGAGGCAGGCGGTAGAGGGTCGGCACCACGCATTCCGTCCAGTATACTGACATCCCTTGTGAAAGATGAGGAGTGACAGCAATCGAGAATGATTGTAATTCTATTTCCCTTTGTGCGAGATATTTGGGTGAAAATAGTGTTGGTCTCTCGGTCGCTAATGTCAGGAACGGTGACACCATCACTGGGGGCGACACGATCGATGGGGCATAAAGCCTCAATACATCCTCCTCCTGCAATAAAGTCATTGGATGGAGCATAGTCAGAACGGAAGTAGCTCGACACGCGCCCAGCAAAGTAAATGATGATGTTGTCGCCGTATTGTATCTTGGAGTTCGTAGATAGACCGAAAAGCGCATGGATTATGTTTTCACGAGTGGGAATGGATGAAACGCAGTTGGAGCTGCATGTAGGTGCTGGGGAAACGGCGCTGGTAAGGAGTTGGATCTGCCCTGCCGGCACGCCGAGATTCTTGATGAAGTATTTTTCCATTGCAAGTGCCTCTGCGACACAGCCACGTACTGGAGAGTCTGGATAGGCATCAATGCCGATGATAACAGCCCAAGTTCGAAAACCACGATGCGAAGGCTACGCCGTCGTGAGAATCGGTGGCAGCGTCATCCGATAGTATAGACTCACCGATGATGGAGAGATTTCGAACCTGAGAGAAAGGCTCCACTTGAAATGCAAATGCAACCAAAAGAATAGAAAGCGGAACTGAAGCTGATAGAACCAGTTCATGAGCTGGAACCCCGATACAGAATGCCTGTCTATCCTTCGGGGTTGTGCCCTGGCATTCGTCTCTTTGAAACGTTCTACGTTGATATCTCCAGGAATCCGGTAGTGCCTCATCATCTGTGCTTCGTCGTATATTGGATTTTTGGCATCATCAGCGAGGAGATTGGGCGAAGTAAGCATCACCTGTTTCAGGATAGATTGAACTGAAGATATCTCTTCATTCAGACGGGCAAGAGAGGCGCTAGAGTTTAATGTTACTTGAACCTTTTGAATATGAAACTCAGGAAACCATTCGCTAAAGAAAGAGAGAAGATTGAACCAGAAAATTTGCCCTGGCATTTTCCACTAGCTTTCGGTGGCGACTAATTCTCCCTTTGACATTTTGATGATTCAAATACTTCATGATGTTCCTCCGAACTCCGCATGTGTTACGAGTGATTTCGTTCACTTGTTTCAAGAGCTCACAGAGAGACCTAGATAATGTATCAGTAACGGAGATAGAATCGTAGTCAATAGGGTAAAAACTCTTGAAACTTTAGACATGCCGTTTGTAGACCTGCTGCATATTTAATGCTCTCGGGCATCGCTGATATCTGGATGCCAGTGTCACGAACAATTATGACGATATCTATGATCTCGTTTGTCAGATCTTGCATATCCTCTTCGTTGTTTTGGAATTGCTTGCCAAACTACCCATCAGAAGCATAAAACAGGGACGAAATATGACACCGACCTCCAGGCTCTCCAAAAGCACTACTGCTGTCTCGGCGACACCTTTGACGAAGGAACCAACGACTGGTACCATCTGGCCCAACCCTTTAACAATATTTGCAATCTGAATTGAAGCTGGGACTGTTCTGGAGATCCGGCGAGGTTTTTTTGGCTCATGTCTGCCAGATGTAGTGGGTAAGTCCATGGGTGCAGAAAGGAAAGCTGGTTAAGCGCCCAACCCAAACAGCATTCGCAGTAGTGCTGTTACAAGACACTACCCCATTTGTTTATGGAAATTACGAGCATGGTTTCAGCCCGAACCATCCTTGTTCGCTGCCATGTAAGTTGGTACTTACCCGCAGCAGATGAAGCGAAGCAGATAGCTTCTTACGCGAAATGATCTGTTAGCAGACTCATTATCGTTGAAAGTACTCATTGTGGTGATGGCTTTGATGGGAAATCCTGAAACGTGTTCGGGGGTTCTTATATCAGCATGACCACCATGATCGTGGCGCTTATTTTGCCTTTGTAACCGACGCCGTTCTTGCTTCACTGGGATTCTTTGCCACTCACGGAGGGCCTAAAATTTCACGAATTTCAGGATCGTACCATTGCCGCGGCACGGCGGCCAACCAGCGCAAGTATAAAGAAACGAAATGCTTGTACCAATTATTTGCCTAGTGATACAAGTCCACTTGTGTAGGTCGTATACCTAATATGCCTATATCACCGATTGCAGGACAGATTACATATGCCAATCTCTATTTCCAAGCCATATTCTCCACTGACGGATTCTCGGACTTCAAGTAAGTCGGATCCGAGCGTACCGAACTCTCCACTGTGACGTGAAGTGCGCGGCGTGGATGAAGGTTAGGCAATGGCACGTTGTTATCTATCTTCACTTGCGCATCCAATCCAACGCGGTATATGATCAGGGATGGGGCGATCGCCTACACAGAGAGTTAGCGCAGTCCTCCTGCTGAATAAAGAGGTGAAGATATCATACACTTATCTGCCCCAGTGAATCACCAATGATGATACTAATGCTACCTAACGTATTGAAGAAGGCAAGGAAGAGAGTCGATGTAATCGCAGATATTGCTCCTGACTCGACGATCATCCAAATGATGTCCATATAGGACTTGGCCGCTGTACTAGCTCTCCAGGATCGTGTTCGTCGCGATACCCACCAGATACGAGCAGCAATCAGGGTGGTGGTGGAAAGCTGCGTTGCTAGAGACAGCGAATACGATGCCTGGAGCCATCGGTAAAGGACTTGGATGGATTCTGGCTGGAGATCCAGACTCGAATCGAGGTAGATAGAAGTGTATCCGCAGACTTTGAACGCAAGCGGTAGGTCAGGAACAGAAATACAAAGGAGAACAAGGACTGACCACCGAATGCCAGAACCATGATGACCTAGCGTACGTTTAACATCAGTCAAAGAGACTTATAAATACGGACTAGTGAAACGTACGGGAAGCACGGACACCTTAACGCTCTTATTCCAAACTACGTATAATCTCCAGATCATTATGGCGTCGCACGCAATACACTATACAAACGTCACTACCAGGTTAGAATTTTTTACTTGATATAAAGCGAACTTACATTTGTGATGGCAGCAGCCTCCTGCATGACATTGACCCATCGAGTCTGGTTGTCCCAGTACGCGATGGAACCCTCGGGGTCCTTCAACCAGATGAAGCCTTCTATTAGAGAGCGCAGACCTGCGGTAATATGGATCGTCGATACGATGAACTGGAAAGTCGCACAACCAAGTAAGAACCTATAAGAGAAAAAGCACGGAAGGGTTGTCATTGGTCACTGGAAAAGACCCTATGTAACGAAACCTACCACCAGCGGCGTTTAATGAGCAAATTGACACAGCTGAAATAAAGAACCAGACTGAGAGGAATCAATATCGTGCAAAAATTGATGGTGTCGCTGAGTCGAGTACTTACTTGACGCCTAGAAGTCATTAGCAAAATAATCGACACACATATGGTAACAACGTACCGTATAGAACAGAGCTGCACCAAACACCCACGAGAGATGTGTAATCCGATGGAAGGTCGTTCATGGCTACTTCGCTCTACAGTTCGATATCCTAGTTGGAACTTGAGAGTCATTATATATCTCGGACGCCGTCCTGTTCTTGCCCGGACACCGAATATTTTTACATATGTCAATGAAACAATCAGAATTCTGAAGTAGGGGGTCATTTAGTTCCTGTTACACGACATACAATTCAGAGGTTGCCTAGGAGTAAGTGAGGCTCTCAGATGAGGGCAAGCAATCGAAGCCATAGTTTCCAGAAATCCCCTGAATTAATCACAGATCCTAAGTAACCCAGCACTGAAGAATGAGGACCTGTAAACGGGGGAAGTACCAGCAACATCCCGGCGTGCTGTTGATTTGCGGAGTCAATGTGCTATATATACCAGTTCTCAGGGACAAGAGAGCAATTCGTGCAGACCGTATGTGATTTTTAGTAGAGAAAGGTCAAGAAGTCCGACCAATATCCAATTTATATCTAGTAGATTATCAGAACAAAGGGGGGTTCCAAGATGAAAAATGGAAGTTCCGTAGATCATCTTAGCACGGTATCGGGTATTAAAACTTGAAGCAAATGAATGGACGTACTATTAGCCTAGCATTGTATACTACTTAGTATCCTACTAAAAGGACAGGAAGGTTTGGCTTGTACTTCTGCGTCTGTTTACGCAGCTTCGCCAACGCAGGCATCTTTGATCAAAGGCGGTCGTTTGCTTGGCCTTAATTGACGAGATGTTGTAGAACAGAGTATCTCATCGCACCTGCTCAGATGAGACGAGGTACGGAGGGTGAATCAAAGAAGGCCTCGATGTAAAAGGTCCCGAGTCGGACTATCAGCGGAAACAAAGCGGAAATGACAAGGAAATGGTTGTCTGCGACAATTTTCTTGAAGAAATCACTACCCAGCGAAGGAAGGGGAGATAGTAACCGCAATAAGGGGCGTAAATATATGGTTGTGAGAGGTATGGTGGAGGGTCGGACACACGACAGAACGTGGTTCGGATTTGTGGCTGTGATGATGCCGTCATCTCCCAGTTTAGTCATCACCGCTCTCAAACAGATCTTTCGTTGTTTGTTGTCCGATCCGCAAACCTATGGCTATGTCCGGCCGTCACGCATCATTTTAAATCTTATTTCAATACATTGATTGTTCGTCAACGTCAACTAAGATTTTTTTGCACGTTGGAATCCTCGGTTGATCAATAGTCAGGCCTTGCATCTCTTCTTGTCAGATCTAACATGAGAATACTGCGTTCCCCTTGTTACAATGACCAAAGGGAATACTTCTCCAGGTATGTAATCTCATCAGGGGTAGTCCGACAGTCATCGTGTAGCCCGGATCTGAAATCGAGAGGCAGACGAACTTTACACACGTCGCAAGTGCATATATTTGCCCAGGAAATGTTGTCCCGCAATGAGGTACCTTTCACTTCTTCACGTCAAAGGTAGACATCGCGAACCAGTGAAAGAAGGATGAAGCAAACAATCAGGACGATCGGTCCCGGGCGGCGCGGAGAATCGTAGAATTTGTAATTCGGTTCACTTTGCCTTTTGGCTAACACCACCACCACCGTCACCTCGTCACCTCATCACTCTGAACGACGGCATTGGTATTCATCAAATAGCTCGTCTTTGAAGACCATGAAGATCCCCAAATCTGCCGTATTAAGCTTAAGGCCAACGAATCCAATTGGCAATTATGCGAGCTTGCCTCAAGCTCAAACTCACCGTTTCCGTAGCGTCGTGGCGTTGGGCGCTCGAAGCTATTCAACTTTACATGTATTCATGTCGGGCACGGTTCCAAGGTGGGTAAAGCAAAATACTGTCTCCTTCGCTTTCTCTCTAAAATTGTATAGAAGTATTCGTCGTGTACCAAAATAGCTCGTGGTGTCTTGTCTGCACCTGTCTCGAACGTGGTTATTCAACTGTCGCCATTGTCAAGGGAACTCCTTACGAGTCCTCAGAGTTGCCTATCTCGTTTAATCTATCAGAGGTGCGCTGAACAATCGCTATTCCCAAATTCCGAACTAAACGTTCTTTTGTCTCCAGGTGTCATCGTATGATTCACCGGCCACCGGGTTCATCTTTTGGTGCACCCGATAGCGAATGCGATGTAGCTAGAAACCTCCGTGGGAATACAAGTTCGAGGATATATGGGTGCCAATATGCATAGTCGTTCTCTTGTGAGTTACAATCTATGTTATCTTCCTCCGTTATTCACGTTGCCAGGGGATAGCGAAACAGGGAACCCCGGCATCCTTGTCTACAAAAATTTAGGATGTTGCCGTCTTGCGTTGGATGCCTGCTGAAGAATCTATGGCAACATCACGCGCTCTACTTGTCAACAAGAAAGCCAGCATAACCAGCTCAAATGTTCTCGGCGGATTTGATGGACATTTCTCTCGAGGTAAACTGTCTTTGGCCCATCTTGACTTGACGTGACGGTCTCATTTGATAAAGGTTCGGAGGATGTTGCATTCCCGTGTGTGGCTGCACTATAACGGGTCCCTCTATTGCGACAACCATCCAGCCCCCATGCCTGTCTTACGACTGAACGCTGACGTCGATGACGCGAGTACTAGTTATTCGTGGTACATGGGTTTCATTAAACGGTTCCATGAATGGTAGTGGGAACACATTGAAGAAAGTACAAGTGCATCAATGGCTCAAAAAAAAAGTGTAACGATTGTGATGTGTCGCGATGCACGAGAACGAGCCCGGGCATTGCCGCTGATTAGTGACTCAAACACGCGACAGTACGTGGTGATATTTCCATAATCGCTTCCCGAGACTTCCATGGGCTTATCTTTCTCAAAGCTTACCACCGTCCACAGACATGGAGGTAACGGGCTGGGAACGTCGGAACTAGGGACCTCTAAAACTGGTTCTTCCCACTGCCTGTCGTCCGATGCTCATATGGGGACTGAGCGACTCGATCCTTCACTGACTGCCTCAAACCCTCATAGAAAGGATGCGTATTCTCGGAGTGCTGAGAGTTTGAGCAGTGAAAGCTCAGCCAAGGTAGATAATCTTCTTGATTTCGGTTTCGTTACAGTCGACTTACACCGTACTATCATTACCTAGCTCCTCGATGGTTCGCACGGAACCGCCTGGTCGCCTCGTGGTTCTATAAGGGAGGCCCTGTCGGATATAGTGCGTAGGTCGTTTATAATCCCCTTCAAATCGTTCTAACTGATTCCTAGCATCAGGTAGAACATGTGCAAGGTCATGACAGCGATCTAAAGATGTACGAGATGAAGAAAGGGGTGAGTGCCGACATCGAAAGGATACCAAATTATGAGGGAAACAAGTCCTCCTCGTCTTTCGGGGTTCTGCCGTTATCTCTTCCCCTGAATCTAGGACTGCAATCACAATCAGAGGTAAGCATCAACCTGTGATTCGAACTTGAGGCCTGACCACGAATACTGTAGGTCGCCAGCACTCGGTTTTGGGCTGTTCTAATTGGTATCGACGGATATCCGTATTATCCTCTACATGGTTGCGTGTCTGACGCGAAACTGATGGAGAAGTATCTCATTGAGGATCTCAGCGTCCCCAAAAATCGAATCCAACTTCTTCTTGGTGCCTCAGGTGGGGAAGTCAACCTCGACCTTGACGCTGTCTCTTCTCCTACTCGCGCCAACATCCTTAGGACACTTTACAGTCTTATCGATAACCCTGAAATCACTCCTGGTGACAATATCATTATATACTTTGCTGGGCACGGCTCACGCTATGCTGCTAAGGAATATTATCGTGGCAGAACACCGCCGGGAGTCTCCCTGGCATCAATTAGGCCCATTGAAGCCCTGTGTCCTGTGGACCGCACTCCTTTTGACAGCACGGGATCGCCGATTCCTGACATTAGTGATCGCGAAATCAACGCTATCTTTACCCAGCTTTCTCTGACAAAGGGCCATAGAATCACGCTCATCCTGGATTGCTGCTATTCTGGCGTTCACACCAAATCCAGTCCCGGTGGCAGAACACGCAGCGCATATCGCACTGTGCCCCCCCTGCCACGCGCTTCAATTGGTCCTATGCTAGAGGGTGCAAATCAAGCTTTGATGGCCTTCCCTGAATATTCTGCTCGCTGTTCGGTCGCCGCGCCCGACTGGCAGCCGGATACGGGTTCTCATGTGGTTTTGGCGGCGTGTCAGGAGTATCAGTTTGCGCAAGAAGAAGTGGAAGAGGACAGGGGTTTCCATGGGGTTTTCACGAGCGCGCTCGTTCAAGCCTTTCAGTCAGGCCAGTTGAAGAGGGGATCAATGTATGTTGATATTATCCGTGCGCTACCTCAGTGGCCTCATCAGATACCCGTTGTCGCTGGAGACCACAAGGAGGGACCAATCTGGTACCAAGAATGAGCGGACCTACTTTTCCCATCAGCCATTAACGCGCGACGTCGTTTACTCTTTTCTTCATCAATATTTATACCCACGGATGGTGAATACGCTGACTGTTTCCTGTCATTGATACTACCAACGTTCTTTATCCATTTCCGCTTGGCAAAGATCTCTTTTATTATTCTATGCACACTTCTTATGTTTGTATGTATCTACTATTATCCTTTCACCGAGAAGTATCCTGAGGTGTTATTCTTTAGGATCTTTACCGCTGAAACTTCAGTGTACATTATCGAGTTGGTAATGCTTCTCGCAGCCTCAGCCAATGCAGAGCCCAGACCATCAATGCAGTATTCCGATTAAATCACAACGGTCGGCACATATTTCCGTGAGAACGAGTAGGTAAGTAGATAGGATTACACGGCACGGTCCGTCGGGGGACGCGTGTCATTTCGTCAATATTAAGATATTTGATCAATAGCTCGCTAGTCTCCCAAAGTCGATGTTCGTTAGGTTTCCCGTCAAATATGTGGCGCGAAGCACTTGAACGATGCAGTCGTATATTAAACGCGCCTCTCTTCTACTAAAAGTTCATCTAGCAATGTCCAAGCCTAGCTGACCCGTTTCTGCAGACCAGCACATGGTTTGCCATGTCAGGGCTGTGGACCCGGCCGTTCCTTATTGGGACCTGGCGCCGGTAACACCACCACCGCCACCACCACCAGCTAAGAACCGGTAGCCAATAAAGCTCTCTAACTGAAGACGCTCGGTATGAACATTGAAAAGGCGGGCGTCTGGCTTCAGCGGTTCAAACACACGCGAACCTTTCAGTTCAATGCGGCGAAACTAAAGAGGGTTACGGTACCCTTGCTCAATGTAGCCACGCAGCGCGGTCATGGTAAGGCTTGGTGTTGATAAAGTATGATTCATACCAGTTCAAAAGTTTACCTTTAAGTGGTTCTCGACGAATCCTTGTTTTTCCCCTGTGAATTTAAAAATACAAGCAAGATGTGAATTCCGTGAGGTCATTCTTTTGAGCCGGCGGGAATCAGTGTTTCCAAACACGGAAACTTATTTCAAATTTCGTTCCCTTCCGTTACAACCACCTTCTCGCTCAATTTTCGCTGCCCTTAGCTTCATCCCAACGACGTTCTGTACGGAAACGGTCGATATCTACCTAATTGGACACCTCTTATGACTACGATATCTTCTGAGGTCGCTGGCTTAAGCTTAAGGCCAACGAATATGTTTTGCAACCTTTTACCTCAAGCTCCGGACTCGCGGTCTTTACTGTTTTCGTATCGCGACATTAGGCGTCACAAGAAAGCTACTCGACTGCACCTTTGTTCATGTCAGGGACAGGTCTACGGTGAACAAAACAAGAATTCTGTCTCTTCTTTCTCTAATATTGCACCGCTACAGAAATAATTCCCGCTTACCGCGTCTGTACCTCTAGATACAGGATGCGTAACCATTTCTGAGAGAATTTGCGCAAACTGTCTGGTTGTCTAGCTCGTTTGATTTGGCAGAGGTGTGTTGAATCAATATCTATTCTCAAATTCCGAACCGAATGTTTTGTATCTAGGTGTCGTCTTGCTCTATATCGACTTGCAGGTTTCTTATCTCCTGCCCCGAGACGGTGGAGACGAAGTGGCAGCTCTGTGGAAGTTCGAGAGGATATCTATTGCGACAATCATCCAGGCCTTCCCATGTGCATGCCTTTCATCAACCTGATCCGCCTCCCACTCATGTCGCATTGGCCGATATGAGGTGGAGAGCGTTTTCTTGTTGGCGCTCAAAAAACCCTTTGAAAACGACAACAACTGTGAAACGGCTCGATCTCAGAACTCGGCGGGCTCCATATATTCGAATCTCAGTTTTGACTAGTATGTGTTCTATCTCTGCTAGTGAACGTACTTGAACCAACGTTGTTTAGAACGACACCCACAAGGTAGCCACATGTGCAGCTAGGAACGAAAGACGTGCTATTATCTCGCGATATGCAAGTTATCCCCAGTATTCCGCCAGATTCCGGTATTCTCCGTCACGGTGGTGACTTTCAAGCAGAGTTGTGTCCCACTGAGATGCCTGACTCTATGGTTGGACGTGCAGGTATTATTCGCTCGTTGCGTAGGATCTGCCCAATCTGCACTAGAGTGTTTGCATGCGGGAAAGAAAACGGAAAAAGGACACACTGACCTTGTATGCCTCATCGCCGCCGATTTCGATAAGCATTGCTACAAAATACTTTACCAGCGGCCGCGGACACTTAACCGTGTCTCCGGTTACCATCGAAGACGCGCTCTAGGGTCAGTTATAATGACCATGCATCGAAGACTATATATTAATATTACTATTGTTCTAGCCAGAAAAGCATGCAACCAGCTGATGATCAATGATGGCGCACGCGACGTTTGGGCTGAGGAAGTTGCGAGGGAGCAATTTCTCTACTCTGTCCTCTGCATGGACGCACAAGGCTGAGCAACACGTTTGGTCCAGTTCGTTTTCCCTATCATGTTCTTTTCACGCCTCCAAAGACACCACCTTTGATCACTTGCAGACTAGACCAGAGCAGAACGCGTAGGCCATTCGTTCGTTCTTCGCCTAGCAGGCGTTGCTGTTACTGCGTTCATTGTGACAATCAACTTTTCGTGTTCCACCACATGTATCTGCACCTCGTATGTTCCGCTTCATGGAACGATCATCTTCCAGTGCAGAACTTGGCAAGCCCCGTCGACCGCTTCCAACAGATGTTCCAATATCGCTTTTGCAGGCTCCTTAGTCTGGACCATGTCCAAAACTGTCGTTGAGACCTCGCTTGTAACAACAGTGGCGGTCGGGCAACCAGCTCAAACGGGTCGCAATTGTGCTCTTCTTCCTCTGGGGGATAGCACGACGAGGGATATGTGTATTTGGCGTCCAAAATTATGCCTTTCAAGTTTGCAAGAGCTTCATGGGTGCACACTAAGTATACCTTCTTCAATCTCAAGTCATGCTCAGGCCTGTTGTAACTGGAGCCCTCGCAATCATCAGAGACAAGCGCTCGTCATGTTCTTTTTAGTGGCCGTCCTTTGTCTTATGATAGTGGGTCATTCAATTCCTCTTGTTTACACTCTTGGCGTGCAAGTCGCCAGTTATACTTATCTAAATCCCTCGGTGTAGTTCGGCATCTTCCTTCTCGATCCTTCAAGTCCTGGGAGATATGCTATAAGGACCCGTTCCCGTCAAACGATCACCAGTGTGATCAATGTTTAGGTTACATCGCGTACCGCCAAGCCACCACGAGATTCGTGAAGAATGACGCCCGGTGAAAGTCACTTCCGCACGTGAGCCCGTATGCAGTAAACTTCACTTTGTGCGTTTTTGATACTTGTCTGATACTTGATCTAATCCCACTGTTGTATAATGTAGAACTTCCTTGCAACAACAGCGTTCAAACGTTCGAGCTCTAACGTTGTCCCTACCTACAAGGCGCATCTCTCAGGTCGACCCGCACGTCGGGTCGAAGCCTATCGATTTTCTTCCAGTGGCGAGTGTGGCACGGTCCAACCAAGACCGCATATCTTTCACCTGTTTTATGCGTCGCTCTTTTGAGCTATGGAGGCTCAACGCAAATCCTTTGAGATGATGATGATACTTTGCGGAGAATCCTCGGTACGCATAGAAGCCAGTTTCAGTGTCGATGGTCTCTGAAGTATCCTACAGATATAAACGGCCCGGATGACATTCTGTATGCTTCGACTATTGTTCCTATGATACAATGTGGGTCATGAGGACCGGTCCAGCGCACAAGAAGGTCCTGCGTCCGCTTACGGTTCGCCTTAAAAGCATCGATGATGATTTGGTGGGCATTGGACAACCCTCAAAATGAACATCTCTTCCGACTTCCGCAGGATACCAGCTGATCTTTTTCGACAATGGACGGCTACCCTACTGCTTTGGTCATGGCTTTCCGTTCTCCTTTACGGGAGCAGTATTGGGGCGCTCGCTAGGTCTACCATCCATGATGAGAATGGCAACGCTCTGTACCGTCGTGGGGCCTCTTTCACCGACCAAGTCTCTTTTGACAACTACAGCTTGTCGCTACGTGGTCAAAGGATCTTCTTACAGTAAATATCCTCTATTCGGTTGAAGTGTTTGATACTGATGATGATTATCAGCTCCGGGGAATTCCACACATTTCGGTTACCTGTCCCGTCCTTATGGCCCGACATCCTGCAAAAGGTCAAGGCATCAGGTCTGAATGCTGCCAGTGTCTACGTTCACATGGGTCTCCTCAACCCATCGCGCGGCGTGGTGGACTTTGACGGCTTTCGAGCTCTGAAGCCGCTGTACGAGGCCGCTTTGGAAGCGGGTATTTGGATCGTTCTACGTCCTGGTACGTTTTAGTTCTCCTCTGCCATTCTAGGGTGCTCAATGGTGGATCATTAGGCCCGGTCAGTTGCGCCGATTTCATGTGTGGATAAGTGCTTACCCTTTTTAGTACATCAATGCAGAGACTTCCGCAGGCGGTATAGCACATTGGGCTACGTCAGAAGTTGCTGGAACGTTGCGAACAAGTGCTCCTGATTGGAGAGAAGCATGGATGGATTATATTCTCGGGATCATCAAAGAAACAGCGCCGTATCAAATCACCGAAGGAGGGCCGGTTATTGGTGAGTGCGTCAGTGTTTCAGCGTACCTTATTCTGATCACATAGTCTATTAGCAATACAAATTGGTCTGCTTCTACTTCCTACGCGAAGACAGCTGAAACTAAATGGATATCTCAGATAACGAGTTTTCTCAGACTATCGGTGGAGAGTACTTTGCCGAACTTGAAGAAGTTTATCACAATTCAAGCATTGTGTTACCCCTCACCTACAATGATCCAGGAGAAAGTCGCAACTTCATCAATGGGACCGTAAGCTTATTATGAAAACTTCAAAACCCGTCCATACTGATGAAAATGGCCCTACTCAGGGTGCTGTCGATCTTTACGGGTTTGCCTTCTTCTTCAGTTGTCTTCTAATTCTAACGTTGCCTTGTCAGAGTGGATGCTTATCCTCAACGCTACGACTGCTCTCATCCTTTGGACTGGCATGCGATTCCCTTGGACTACCATCAATATCACGAAGAGGTCAATCCATCTCAACCCTGGTATTTCCCCGGTGCGCTCGGTTTCTTTGTCTGCTTACTGTAAGCTAATTTGAACTGGGCAGAGTTCCAAGGAGGTTCGTTCGATCCTTGGGGTCCAACTTCGCCAGGTAACGTGCTAAGATAGTGTGCTACTAGTCGCTTTTTACTAGCCATATTAGGCTATGCTCCTTGTGCCGTCCTAACGGGCCCCGACTTTATGTCTGTTTTCTACCTTCAGCTATGGGCCAGTAATGCGAAGCTGCTCAGTTATTATATGCTTTATGGGTTTGTCAATGTATTGATTGTCCTACTGTGGATTACTAATGACATGCTGTAGTGGTACATCATGGGGAGCAATACCGTTCCAGTAAGCTGTCT